CTTTCTATTTCTATCTTACCTGTCCTTTCTTTTTTATGTAAATTTTTGAACTTAATTGTAATAATTAGAGTTCGAACCCGGGCCGGGCCCGGACCGGTTTTTTCCGTGCCCGGTGGCCCGGAACCGGGTACCAATTTTATAAAATAAAAAATTTTTTAAATCGTCTAAAATTTAAACAAAATTTGATATACATACCTTTGAATTTAAATATTTTTGGATTTTAATAAGCATTAAAAATTTACACAAATATTTTAATGAATCATTTAATAAAAAGTAAATAATTACAATTAAAATTTAAAGTTAACATTTATTTTAATTATTCTCTTTAATTTATTTCACTTTCCTTTAATGGCAAATCCTCTAAGCTTTAACGTCGTCCCTTAATTTTTTAATTTAAAATTATTTTTAAATTAATTTCCTCACCTTACAAGCAAATTCACAAGTTTGTTGACTCAAAAAATTATTACAATTTCCATTACATCCATTGAAATTGAATGACTATAAATTTAGTTGAAAATAAATAAAATGCAATTTTTTATTAATTTAAAAAATATTATTTATAAAATACTTTTATGGAGGAAAACAAAAAAGAAATATTTTAAAATATTCGTGAACTTTAAATAATTAATTAATTAATTAATTAAATATCCTCCCTATTATTTTTATTTAGATTAACTAAAATCCAACCCTGCAAGCATTCTCCCTAGCTACAAAATGCCAACGGGTTACAGATCTACGAGTATTTCCACAAAAAGTCCCAATTTGACTATTTTGGAAACAAAGCTGGGGCTAAAATATTTTTTCATTTAAAAATAAAATATTATTTTATTTTACCACACTTCCCCCTTGCCCAAAACTAATTTCAAAAAATACAGAAATTAATATTAAAATAATAATTAATTTTTTCATTTTTTTAAAAAAAATTTTTTAATAAATAAAGTTAAAATAAAATTAAATTAAATATATTTTTTACTTTATATATAAAAATCTTTTTTTTTCTCCATTATTCACTATAACTTACTCATTAAATTAAAGTTTTAAATAATATAAATTGATATTAATAAAATTCTAAATGTCAGAACATTTAAAAATATTTACAAAAAAATATTGTAAAAATTGCTAATTATTTGTAAAAAATTATTTTAATTTTTGATTTCTGTTAATCTTTTTTCTCTTCATAAATATTGAAAATGCTAAAATTATTCAACAGCGAGATAATTTAAAGTTAAAGAGAAAATAAATGTTTTCCTTATTGTTTGTTAAAAAATTTCAAAAAAAATTTTGTTTTTAAAAAGATATTTTTTACAAAAACATACTCTAATTAATCTATTAAATTTTTAAAAAATTCTGTTTAAATTAGTAAAAATGTTAAAATGAAAGGATTTAATTTAAAAATTAATAATTAATTTAAACAATAAAATTTCCAGCAGTTTAGTTGATTCACCCTTTATTAATGTCACTTTTTAGAATCAGTTAATGGTTTTGTTCGAAATTTTTCGAAATAATGCCAGTCCTTTCAGTAAAATAACTTGGTTGTTGGCAGGGATTAAAAGACGGTTAAAAATAATTTCTGTCATTTTTTTGAGATTATCAATAATTAATTGGAATCGTAAAATTTGAAAGATTTCGAGATTTTCTAAGTAAATTGATATCGAAAAACACCATTTCCACACAAAGTATTTTTATCAAAAAAAGTTTGATAAATTTTGTTTGTTAAATATTTTATTTATGTTAACTTTATTTTTTCTTCAGCTGACAGGGTAATACAAGCTTTTTAATTGAGAAGAAATTGAATAGCTATTTAAAAAGTTTTTTGTTAAAAGTTAAAATAAATTTTGTTTTATTTTTAAAAATATATTTATCGAATTAATTAATATATTTATTTAATAATTTCATTATCAATTTATTATTTTATTATCATATTCTTGTATATCACATCCTTCAGTTAATTAATGACCCTAAATTTAATTAAATATATTTTATGACTATATTTAATTAATTACTTTGCAAGCTTTCTGGCAACTAGCTTTAGAATTAAAATTGTTCTGATTTCCCCCACATCCTTTGTATTGGAATGACTTTAAAAATAAATTTTGTTTTTAATTTAATTAAAAATAGATATTCCATTTAATTTAATTTAAATTTATTTTTACCTTACAAGCTTTCTCTTTAGCTACATACCACCAACGAGTACCTCCACAATTATTTCCCTCAGCTTTAGGTTGGCGACAACGCTAAAAATAATTAATTTTTAAATTAAAAGAAATTTATTTACATCTACTTTACATTCACTTAAATTAATTAAAGTAGTTAATACAATTAAGAAAAGTAAAAATTTTGACATTTTATTTAAATAGAAATGAATTTATTTTTAATGCTTGACTTTAATTTAATGTTAGAATTATTTAAATTTAGAATCTTATATATACATACATAGTAAAGATTCATAAAAATAAACAAGGAATTAAAGAACGATTTTTAAATTTTTTATTAAAAAATAATGAATGTTTTTATTTATAAAAAACAATTAAAAATATTTAAATAAACAAATAACATTTGACATTTATTTTTTGTTTGTTTTGATGATTTTAAATTTAACTTCCTCCAATAAAATAATTAAAAATATATTTTTTTATTTTAGTGATGTTCTGGTATCCCGATTCCCTAGAGGGGAATTCTTCCGAGTTTTTGACCTTCCGATCCCGACTCCCGACTTCAATTCCCGATTGTCGGAAAATTTTTAACACCTGAGAATAGTTTTTCTGATAAAATTATACTTTCAATTAAGAATTATTTGTTTATTTAAATATTTTTAATTGTTTTTTATAAATAAAAACATTCATTATTTTTTAATAAAAAATTTAAAAATCGTTCTTTAATTCCTTGTTTATTTTTATGAATCTTTACTATGTATGTATATATAAGATTCTAAATTTAAATAATTCTAACATTAAATTAAAGTCAAGCATTAAAAATAAATTCATTTCTATTTAAATAAAATGTCAAAATTTTTACTTTTCTTAATTGTATTAACTACTTTAATTAATTTAAGTGAATGTAAAGTAGATGTAAATAAATTTCTTTTAATTTAAAAAATAATTATTTTTAGCGTTGTCGTCAACCTAAAGCTGAGGGAAATAATTGTGGAGGTACTCGTTGGTGGTATGTAGCTAAAGAGAAAGTTTGTAAGGTAAAAATAAATTTAAATTTTAAAATAATTTTTAAAAATTTTAATTTAAAGTCATTCCAATACAAAGGATGTGGGGGAAATCAAAACAATTTTAATTCTAAGGCTAGTTGCCAGAAAGCTTGCAAAGTAATTAATTAAATATAGTCATAAAAATATATTTAATTAAATTTAGGGTCACTAATTATTTGAAGGATGGGGTATATGTACAAGAATATGATAAATAATAAATTGATAATGAAATTATTAATAAAATAATAACTTAATTAACTTGATAAATTTATTAAAAAAACAAAATTTATTTTAGGGTTTTTTAAAAAACTTTGTAAATAGCTTGCAATTTTTTTCATTTAAAAAGCTTGTACCAACCATTGATGTGAAAGTTCCAGTTCCGGAACTAATTAGTTCTAGTTCCAGTTCCAGAACTTGAACTACGGAACTAACGATTATCTGGAACTAGCTTTGGAACTAGTTCTGGAACTTGTTCTTGGAGGTATATTTTTGACAGAATTTCCTCGACGAAGTTTACGGGATTTTTAATATTGTTGTAAATTACCTGCAGCGCGCTAAAAATGAAAGAAATCTGGCCGCTTGAGCTCCAAAATTCTCAAAATTTTCGCCTGCGGTGCTAAAAAATGAATTTTTGGCCTCTTAATCCTCTAGTTTATCCTCCAATCTCCTCAAATCCTCCGATATCACTCAGAATCCTCTTATAACCCAGATATCACCAAAAATTCACGGGATTTACGGGATTAATCGAGCGGGATCCTGTCCCGAAAAATTTTTTGAAAAACCCCGTTACGGGATCCCGTGAATGCGATTTTGCCGCATACTAAATGATTTTTTAAATTATGCCTTTATTTGTTAAAATTGATAAATCTTTTTATATTCAAAAAAATTTAAAAATTTGGAACTACTAATTAAAAACCTAGTTCTGGCAATGGAACTAGTTCCAAAGAAATTTTGTAACTTTGACATCACTGGTAACAACCTCTTCGGAGTTGGAGTGCTGGAGATGGGGGTTTGCCTTAAAATCTTAAGAGTTCGAGGTCGAAGATTCGAGGTTCGTGTTGCTACACTACTTTGAATTAGTAATCCAAAAAGGATTTTAATTTATGAAATTTATGTTTATAGAGTATGTAGAAAGTAAAGAATTGATAAAGTGTAGATAGCAAATACTTAAAGAGGCAAAAATTAAAGAGTTATATCTTTGATGAAATTTCTAATTAATCTAATTTGAGGAAAGCATTAAAGAAATAAAAAAAATCTAAAATAAAAGAAAGAAAAATTTAATAGCCAAATTAATTAAATAAAAATCAAAGCGTCTTCGCTCTAAAATCTAAATATAGTATTTGTAAAATCTCATTTCTTATAGAATTATTTAAAAATAATTGTTAATTGCCTCATATTAATTCTTTTTCTTTTAAACTGAAACTAAAGTAGTTACACTTTGCGAAGGAAATGAATATGTAAATGATTCTCCAGATATTTTTACATTATTTTGTTGTTGGAAATTTTTGCCTTGAGAAGTAATATATGAACTAAATGAAGATGGTAATGTTCCTCCATTAATTGAAAATTGTTGTGATATAGGCGAGGATCCCATATTTATTGCTACAATTACTACCTTTAAAAAATTAAAAAAAATATTTTTAAAAATACCTAATTGAGTTCAGTCTATTATACTCTCCTATCCAATAACATAACTAATAAATTATTTTATATGTAATTGAGACTATATACATAATTACTTAAATAATAATACTTAAATAATAATAATTAAAAAATTATATCCAATACTCAACTAAATTAATTAACTAATCACCTTTCCATTCCCTGTGTATGCACTCACAAGCAAATTATTATTATTAGAAATGACAGAATTAACACGAAAATATCCAGGTCTAATAAATTTTGCAAAATGTCCAATAACATAAGCTTTAGGCGCTAATTGCCAATTTTGATATAAAAGCATCATATTTGGAGAATCATCTCTTAACCACCAATGAATATAAGCATTAAATTCAGCAATTGTCAAACAATTGTGAATATCTTCAGCTTGTTTCATAACACTATTAAAATCATTATTATCAGTATAATGTTCGGTCATCCAAAATTGCTTTCCAGATTTTTTTACTAAAGGTTGGGGTTTCATAATAAATCCATAAAGATGCATTGCATCAATATCAACTACAGCAGCTGATTGAGGGTCGTTCTTTAATTAAAAAATTTTTATTGGAATATTTTTATTTTGAGCTTGTATAATTTAGAGGTTAATAGAGTAATTATTATTACAGGCCGGACAATTACCGTAAATCTTCTAATAGAAGCACAGTGCTTCTATTTTTCGATCCCCTTGTAGGGTGTGCTTATATTGGAGACTGTGCTTCAATTGGAGACTGTGCTTGTATTTTTCGATCTATTTTTCAATTTTTTGAAGAAAATTTTTACCCAGCATAAAAAAACAAAAATTAAATTTCAATTGAATTTATAAAGTTCCATTTAATTTTTCAACCAACCAGCTTTATAAATTTTTTCTTTCGAAAATTTTCACCTTCCGAGCTGAAAAAACAAGTCTGATCTCATGGAGCCAGACCCTTTAATCCACTAAAATCTTCTTATATCCTATGATACTTCTCTAAATCCAACCAACTATATCCCTCTTGATGTCCCTCAACAACCCTTGTTGTAGGTCTTGAGTGAATTTTTTTCTCAAGTTTCCGAAATTTCGAGGTATAGGGCAAGGAATGGACGCAGACACAGTGGGCGTAGGTCGCAGACCCAGTGGGCAGACCCAGTGGGCGGATATGGATCTAAAAAATCCGGCGGGAAATCCGAACCGGACTAAAAAATTTTGAAGCATTTTTCAAATGTCAAACCCTAATATAAAGCTAAAATGATACCTATGTGTTTTTTCAGCGGTATAATAGGGGTGTGCTTATATTAGAGGTGTGCTTCAATTAGAGGCTGTGCTTCTATTTTTCGATTCTCTCATAGGGTGTGCTTATATTAGAGGTGTGCTTCAAATAGAGGTGTGTTTCTATTAGAAGATTTACGGTAATTAGTATATATGTATACTTAATTATTCGGGTTTTATCGTTAACAATAATTTCTTAAATTAAAAAAAACTTACCAAAATTGCCTCATTCATATCTGTTCTAAATCCAAAGGATTCGGGTGCAATAATTTTTATATTACTTCCCGATTTAATTCTTCCCGCAAAATTTTTTAAAAAATTTTTCAATTAGCATCGTCTAGACGATGCTAATTTTTCAATTAGCATCGTCTAACTCAAATTAGCATCGTCTAAATCAGGCTCATTAATTATCGAAATCGCATAAAGAGGTGCATCATTATTTTTGAAATAATCAACAAAACTTTTTAAATAATCAGCATAATTGCTATATTGGTTAGAACTGAGAGGGCCTGGTTTGTCTTCTTGTTTATTGTCTTTCATGTTAGCTGGGGCAGTCCAAGGAGTGGCAAATACTTTGGCATTAAATTTTAATGCATTTTTGGCATTTGATAATTCATCATTCCATCGTTTATGTTCGTCAATTCGAATACGAAGGATTGAATAACCAAGAGTTCCAAATCTATAAATTCAAACAAATTTATGTATCTAAATATTCCTGCAAGTATTTATAAAATTATTAATAAATAATTATTTCTATATTCGAATCTTCTATTGGCATTTTATTAAATAAAATTTCTTTGAATGTTAAGCATTTCTAGAGTCTTTCAGACACTCAGATTGTTTAAATGAATAAAAAATCCCTTACAGTTCATTCATTGTCTGATTGGGAACTGCTCCATTCCAAGCTGAAGATGCACCGAATCCATCAATAACTTGGCGTTTTTCATTAAGATTAATAGTTACATTTCCATTATTACGGTCAAATTGCGACGAAAAAATTATAATAAAAATAATTAAAAATATTAAATCTTTCATTTTTAAATTTTGTTTTCTAATAAATAATTGGGTACGTTTAAATAAAAATTAATTAATTAATTGAATATAACTAAATAAAATGATTATTTATATTAAATTTAAATATCAAAGATTTGTTTGAACAGGGTGAATTGTGAAACACGTTGAATATTATGCAAGCGGAATATTGAAACTGGCGAAAATTTTATAGCTGAAAAAACAAAGCCTTCGAGAATATTAAGAGAAAATTAAGAGAAATTAATAAAATTAAGAGAACCGTACGAGAGAACCTTCCGAATAAAATTAAGAAAACCTTCCGAGATTATTAAGAGAAAATTATTTAAGCAAGCATTAGTTTAAAACAAACATTTTCAATCTTTTTTAATTTAATTAATTTTTCAGATGAATTAATTTTAAGCATTAATTTTAAACAAACGTCTTGGACCTTTGCGAATAAAGAATCGACAATTCTGGGGATGTCATATCTCTTCTATCACTTATATTTTTTGGGTAAATTTGGGAAAAAAGGAAGTTGTTTAATAATTTGGTTTATTATTTAATTACCTAATCAAGATTTTGGACTTTTTTTACATTAATATACTTTAGAAAAAATATATTTCAATACAAATCTGTCCTAATTAATCAGAAAAAATTGTTATTTACTTTATCTTTATTTAAAAATTTATAATTTTTCAACAAAGTACATAAACTTTTTTTAAAATTAATGAATTAAATTTTAAAAAATAATCTATGAACATTAATGGTTTTTAATATTTTTTTTTAAATTTTGATAGCTGAAAAAACTTAAAGCCTTCCGAGAAGAGAAAAATCTAAATAAAAAAGTAAAATTATTTCCCAATTTTTTATTGTCAAGCTAATTAAATAAACCAATTGCTTAATAAGATAAGCTTTTTAGATGCAAAACTGAATTTTTTACCCAATATCCGGTTTTTCTCTTAAATTAACTCGGAGTTTCCAAAATCTATTGTAAAAAATTTTTATTTAAGATTAAAAAATGATAAAATATAATCAATAGGATATAATAATCATTTTATAAAAGCAGTTTCTCAAAATGACCGACCCTGACTGAAATACACGCATCCAAACACTTACGGATGTTAATCACAATGGTCGCACATTGTTCATCGGTTATTTCGTTCCAGGCTCGCTCCAAATCAACATTAGTTCCTCCGATGTTGCGCATCGGATTCGGCATACTTTTTGCTACAAAATTGCCCAAATAGAATAATTCAATGACTTAAATCCAGTAAGTTTGAAGGCCTTAAATCTTTCCCCCAAAAACCAGGAAACAGCTCCCCACAGAGCTGGATTGTTGTTTTGGCTCCATGTGCGGGTGCTCAATCCTGCTGAAGCGAGAATAGATTTTCTCCGTGAAGCTATAATGCCATGGATGCTCAATCCCCCTCAGAATGTCATTTTTTAGACTGTAGCATTAATTTTTATAGTCATCACTCTGTTATCGCGACCAGCTGCGACCAGGCGTTTAATCATTCGACATTTTTGATGTTTCTTATGCTTCATTCGATTGCTAAGGAAATATGAGCGGCTGATCTTGTAACTCCAAAGTCTAAGCTTCACTCTGACAATTTTTAGGAGGCTCCTCGAGCTCATTCCGAGATCTGAGGCCGTTTTTCACATCGATTGTTCAGAAAAACGGAAAATTCGGCATCTGACGTCCATTCTGTTTTCATTCGTAACTTCGGTTACCGGCCGGCCACTACTAGGACGGTCCTGAGTATTTCCAAGCTCATTATATCGTTTTATTGCTTTGGAAACTAACATACGACAGATATCGAGGCGTCTAGCGATGTCACATTTTCTAACATTTTTAAAATACAAAGAAAAAATAGAATCACGATTATTTGAAATTCTGTAAAATTTTTGCTTTATGAGATAGGAAAAAATTTTCAAGATAAAATGTATAGAGCATGAATCATAGAATATGGGAAATCTAAACAAAAAGCAAAATCTAAAGTAAATTTTAAGAAAGGACAAAATAAAATTTGTCGCCGAACTTTTGCCCCACCCTGTATTTACATCATTTTTTGGAAATTTTTTTGAATTAATTAAATTAATTAAAGTAGTTAATATAATTAATAAACGTTTACCACATTACTTCTACTACGTTTAGAATTTATATTTAGTTTTTTATAACTCTCAAAGATTAACGTAATCTTTGATATTTAAATTTAATATAAATAATGTTATTGGGCATTTTGCAAAGTTTATTAGACCTGGATATTTTAGAGTTAATAACTCTTTAATTTTTGCCTCTTTAATATTTGCTATTTACACTTAACAATTCTTTACTTTCTACATATTCTATAAACATAAATTTCATAAATTAAAATCGTTTTTGGATTATTAATTCAAAGTAGTGTAGCAACACGACTCTCGAATCCCCGACACCGAACCCCGAAGATTTTTTTGCCTTCGGGGTTCGGGTCGGGGTTTTTGTCAAAAAATCGTCGGGGTACGGGGGACGGGGAGCTACCCTAATTTAAATTAACAATTAAAATTTAATATTAACATTTTTTAATCTTAATTATTTCTTTAATTTCTCTTTCGTTTTAACAGCAAATCCTCTAAGCTTTAACGTCGTCCCTTAATTTTTTAGTTTAAAATTATTTTTAAATTTATTTCTTCACCTTACAAGCAAATTCACAAGTTTGTTGACTCAAAAAATTATTACAATTTCCATTACATCCATTAAAATTGAATGACTATAAAATTTGTTGGAAATAAATTACTTTAAAATGTAATTTTTTATTAATTAAAAAATACTCTTTATTTAACACTTTTATGGAGGAAAACAAAAATTTTTTTAAATATTCAGGAACTTTAAATAATTATTTAAATATCCTCCCTATTATTTTTATTTAAATTAATTAAAACCCAACCCTGCAAGCATTCTCCCTAGCTACAAAATGCCAACGAGTTACAGATCTACGGTTATTTCCACAAAAAGTCCCAATTTGACTATTTTGGAAACAAAGCTGGGGCTAAAATATTTTTTCATTTAAAAATAAAATATTATTTTATTTTACCACACTTCCCCCTTGCCCAAAACTAATTTCAAAAAATACAGAAATTAATATTAAAATAATAATTAAATTTTTCATTTTTAAGGAATAATTTTTTTAATAAATAAAGTTAAAATAAAATAAAATGAGTATATTTTAATTTATATAAAAATCTTTTTTTCTCCATTATTCATTATAATCACTTACTCATTAAATTAAAGTTTTAAATAATAAAAATTGATATTAATAAAATTCTAAATGTCAGAACATTTAAAAATATTTACAAAAAAATATTGGAAAAATTGCTAATTATTTAGAAAAAAAAGTATTCTGAATTTTTTTTTCTCCTCATAAATATTTAAAATACTAAAATTATTCAACAACAAGATTGTTTTCCTTATTGTTTGTTAAAAAATTACATAAAAAATTTTGTTTTTAAAAAGATATGAATTTTTTACAAAACACACTTTAATTAATCTATTAAATTAAAAAAAATTCTGTTTAAATTAGTGCGAATGCTAAAGTAGAAATATTTAATTTAGAAATTAACAATAAATGTAAACACTATAATTTCCAGCAGTTTAGTTAATTCACCCTTTATTAATGTCACTTTTTAGTATCAGTTAATGGTTTTTTGTTCAAAATTTTTCGAGAGAATTACATGACCTTCAGTATAGTTGCTGGGTATTAAAGGACGGTTATCAATAATCTTGCCGTTTTATTGAAAATTATCAATAATTAATTGGAACCGTAAAATTTGAGAGATTTAAGAGTATTTTTATATGAATCGATATCGCAAAACACTATTTCCACACAAGTATTTTTATCAAAAAAAAGTTTTATGAACTTTGTTTAATTTGTTAAAATGTTTTATTTATGTTAAATTTGTTTTTTGGTTAGCTGACAGGGTAATACAAGCTTTTTAAATGAAAAAAACTTGAATAGCTATTTATAAAGTGATTTTATTTAAAAAATATACATATTTAGTAAGTTAATTAATTTACTTATTATTTAATTAACACTTTATTATCAATTTATTATTAAGTTTTGTATATCATCCATTTTGTATTCTTGTATACTTGTATATCATCCATCCTCCAGTTAATTAATGACCCTAAATTTAATTAAATATATGTTTATGACTATATTTAATTAATTACTTTGCAAGACTTCTGGCAACTAGCTTTAGAATTAAAATTGTTTTGATTTCCCCCACATCCTTTGTATTGGAATGACTTTAAAAATAAATTTTGTTTTTAATTATTAAATTTAATTTAAATTTATTTTTACCTTACAAGCTTTCTCTTTAGCTACATACCACCAACGAGTACCTCCACAATTATTCCCCTCAGCTTTTGGTTGGCGACAACGCTAAAAATAATTAATTTTTAAATTATAAATAGGTATATCTATTTATTTACATCTACTTTACATTCACTTAAATTAATTAAAGTAGTTAATACAATTAAGAAAATTAGGAATTTTGACATTTTAATGAAATTTATTTTTATTTTTAATGTTTAAGTTAATATTTGAATTATATTTAAATTTAAATTGCTTATATATTATTCAATATAGGTTAATAAAAATAAATAAACAAGGAATTAAATAATGATTTTTATGTTAAAAATAATAAATGTTTTTATTAAATAAAAAAACAATTAAAAATATTCAAATAAACAAGTAACATTTGACATGTTGTTTTTGTTTGTTTTGATGATTTTAAATTTAACTTCCTTCAATAAAATAATTAAAAAATATATTTTATTAGTAGTTATTAGTGATGTTCGGATATCCCGATCCCGAATCGGGAAATTTTTCCGTAGTTCTTGGCCTCCCAATTACGACACCCAATGTCAGTTCCCTGACTAAGTCGTGAAATTTTTACACTCCTGAGAATGGCTTTTTCTGATAATATTGTATTTTTAATTAAAAGTTATTTGTTTATTTGAATATTTTTAATTGTTTTTTTTTCTTTTAATAAAAACATTCATTATTTTTAACATAACAATCATTATTTAATTCCTTGTTTATTTTTATCAATCCTTATTATATATTTATAAGCAAGTTAAATTTAAATATTCACTTAAACATTAAAAATTAAAAATAAATTCATTTCTCTTTAAATAAAATGTCAAAATTCCTAATTTTCTTAATTGTATTAACTACTTTAATTAATTTAAGTGAATGTAAAGTAGATGTAAATAAATAGATATACCTATTTATAATTTAAAAATTAATTATTTTTAGCGTTGTCGCCAACCAAAAGCTGAGGGGAATAATTGTGGAGGTACTCGTTGGTGGTATGTAGCTAAAGAGAAAGCTTGTAAGGTAAAAATAAATTTAAATTAAATTTAATAATTAAAAACAAAATTTATTTTTAAAGTCATTCCAATACAAAGGATGTGGGGGAAATCAAAACAATTTTAATTCCAAAGCTAGTTGCCAGAAGTCTTGCAAAGTAATTAATTAAATATTTAGTCCAAAAAATATATTTAATTAAATTTAGGGACATTAATTAACTGAAGGATGGGGTATACAAGAATATGAAATTTGATAATAAATTGATAATGAAATTGTTATTAAAATAATTAATTAATTAACTCGATAAATATATTTTTTAAAAATAAAACAAAATCTATTTTAACTTTTTTAAAAAAAATTCTGTAAATAGCTATTCAATTTCTTCTCAATTAAAAAGCTTGTATTATCCTGTCAGCTAGCCAAAAAACAAATTTAACATAAATAAAACATATAACAAATTAAACAAAAATGTATAAAACTTTTTTTCTGAAAATCAATTAAAAAGCTTCTCAATTAAAAAGGTGTTTTTCGATATCAATTTACACAAAAATCTCGAAATCACTTAATTTTACGATTCCAATTAGTATATATTTTTAAAAATAAAACAAGATTAATTTTTGTTTTTTAAGAAATCATTTAAAAATTATATTCGAAATTCTTTTAATTTAAAAAATTTTGCTGACTAATAGATATAAAATTCATTTTTGATAATCTGCCATCAAATAATAGGTTTAAAAAACCAGAAATGATTATGTAGAAAAATTAATATAAATCAAATTAATTACCAAAATAGAGACTATTAAGCTATTAAATTTCTTCATAAAAATTTCAAAAAAAATAATCCCAGATGGAAAAATTAAAAAGAAATTTCCTTTAAATTGTTGAATATTTATTTTAAGAATTTTAAAATAACTCAAAAAAAATTAAAAATCAGATTGAACTACCGCATAAGTTATTTTTCTCTAATCAAAACAAAAAGTCGTTGGGTAATTTTCCAACTTTCTGGCTTTAAATTATGATTAAATTCCTCGAAAAATGTATGTAATTTCAAAATATTTTATTTATCTTTTGGTTAAATGAAGATTAAGATGAAATGTTGTAGCTGATATTAAATTATCTTAGAAGGATTTTTAAGTAATAATTTAATGTGTTTGTTTTGTTAAAGATTTTTTTAAAAAATTATTAATAATCAAAAATCATATTTATTTTGAGCATAAAAATAACTACCAAAACATAACAATACACAAAAATATTTTTTGTATAGAAAAACAAATATACAATCAAAATACTTAGATATAATCAACAACAATTTTAATTTTTATATTTTCACCCTTTAATTCTCTCGATTATTTCTTCCCTTCATTATTCCCTTCATCTCTACAAAAACAACACCAAAGGAGAACACCAACAACACTAGCAAGCCTTTAAATATATTTAAAAATAATTTGAATAATCTAAAAATTCTTACAAGACAATATTTACAGTAATCAAGATAGCGGTAATTAATTCATCCGACCCTGAAGATCGTGAAGGTTTGGGTCTTAGATAGTTCCAAGTTTCTTCGACAGGTTCCTCTGTTGTTTCCTCTGTTGTTGATTCTTCAGTTGTTGGTTCCTCTGTTGTCGTTTCCCCAATTGCTGTCTCAGTTGTTTCCTCTTTCCTGTTTATTAAAATCCTATATTCTTGTCCACTCTTAAATGAATTTTGTATTTAAAAATATATTACTTAAACTCACAAATTTAATTTCAATTTTGCAATTAGGTCCATTTAGAGGAGAATTCCTTTTAATATTGTTCCCATCACGCTTAAGAGAAGCCTTTTGAGGGAGAAGGTAGAAAGCAAGCAATTGATCGTAATGGAAATATCCATATCCATTACTTTCATCTACAATTATCCAAGTTATCGGTTTAATTAATCCTTTTTTGTTTATTATTTCATCAAATCGTTGTAAACACACAAAATTGCATGTTGAGGGAATCAAATAACGTCCTTCAACTTTCTCTATTTTGAACCAATAAGGACCATCATCAACACGGACATTAATTTCAGACTTTAAATTGTTTACATGATCATCCTTGAGAGGACATTTGCACGCAACTGGCTCACCAACTGTAAATATATGTAGATATATTAGAAAGTTAGAAGAGATTTATCTCCTTACTTGGTTGCATACTCGCATAAACTTTATCTTCATCATATGCCCAACCAAACTCTAATCCACCAGGTTTCAAGCATTCTCCACCACTTTTGATGCACTCATCCTTCTTTTTGCAAGAAATATCCTCTCCCTCGTAAGGTCCTTCCTTTAGCTTTTCAAAACGTTCAATACCAATGCTGTATGCAAAAGGAACCCTTAAATTTTAATATTAGATGTCTTTTAGGAACAATTTTCTCTCACAAATTGGCATTAAATCCATCTGTGGACATTGGCTGAAGACATTCTTTAATCTCGTTGTTGTCGTTACTCAAAATTGCTTTGAATTCAAACTTACCAGTAAAATATCGGTGCAAAAGATCGATGGCACATCCAGTCTCACGAACGGAGTTGTAATTCAGTATGCTTAAAAATACATTTAACTTTAACTCTTAACACTTCTTTAAACTTACATATCCCCATTATCGTCAAACTTTACATCACAAGCATTGTCCGTTCCTTTGTACTCTTCTAGGTCCTCGTTGCTATTCGCAATACGTCGTGCTGTGCCAAGTTGAGTGATTTTGTTGTCAACCATAGTGTGACGACCATAACCAACAATTGTAGTCTCTTCTGACACAACACAATTGAGTGAAGTCCAAATAGCCAGAAGAATAACTAGAAGAGCGGCAACACGAAGCATTGAGAGAAGAAAAGATTGTTACAATTTGAAGAAGATTGATAAAATATTTTAAAATTTTAAGCTTTTTATACAGATTTTATTTGGACTTAAATAAGGTCCACATTGTTTGAATGTTGTTGTAAATTACCTATTTATGTGCTTATTTTGATGAATATTTTATTATTTTTCATTAATTTATTTTATTAAATCGTTATAAAAATACTTGAATACAATTTATGTTCATTAATTATCTCAAGGATGATATACAATAATAATTAATTTGGTAATGAATTGATAATAAAATGATAAATATAAATTAGTAACTTTTTAAATATATTTTAAAACAAAATTAAATTTATTTCAGTTTTTTTAAATAAAAATTCTAAATCCTTTCATTTTAAAATTAATTTAAAATAATTTACTGCTTAATTATTAAGACGCAAAAATAAATATGTATTAAATAAAAATTAAATAACGAATAATATTCAAATTTATTTTTGATAATTTCTTCTCAAAAAAAAATTTAAGTCAAAAAAATCAAAAAATAATTTCAAAAAATTTAGAAAAAAAAATAAATACTAAAAAGAAATTTCATTAAAAATTGTTGAACTTATTTATTTATTAATTTTCTTTCAAGATTTTAAATGATAAATCAGGAAATGCACATTTAACTCTAAAATCAAGATTAACAATTTAGGTATTTGATGAATTTATTCAAAATAAAGAGTCGTTGGGTAATTTTTCAACTTTTCTTTTTTTTTAATTAGAATTAAATTCTCCTGAAAATTTAATTAAAAAATATTTTCTTTATTTTTTTGGTTAAATGAAGATTAAGATGAAATAATGGTCGATATTGAACAGTACTTAAACAATAATAAATGGCATTATTTAATTTTATTTTTCAATTTTGCATTAATTCTAAATATACATTTATTAATATTTTCAATAAGTACATACATTATTCTACAAATTTTTGAAGAAAAAAAAATTTTTTTAATTTTATTTTAATTATTATTTTATCTAAAAATATCAAAAAATGATCTTCTAAATTGCCAATTAAAATTATATATATATTTATTTTAGCAAAAGCAGAAATATTTAACAATTATAACAAGGAAAATAATTTATATAGAAAACAAAACACCGTAAATTCTCCAATAGAACCACGTCTGTTTATATCTTTCAATCCTCTCGATGTTAAAAAGTCTGCTTATTGTAGAGTGTGTGGTTATATTAAAGGATTTACTAAGTATAAATATCACAATAGTTATAATCAACAACAATTTTAATTTTTATATTCCCATCTTTTAATTCTCTCCATTCTTCTCTTCATTATTCCCTTCACTTCTGCAAAAACAAAACCAACAGAGACCACTAACAATAATGACAAACCTATAAATATATTTAAATAATTTAGATAACTTAGAAATTCGTACAAAATAACATTGCCAGCAATCAAGGCAACGGTAACGAATATATCACTCTTTGAAGTTGGCGAAGGTTTGGGTCTTAAAGAAGTTTGCAAAGAAGTTGAAGTTGACAAAGAAGTTTGCAAAGGTTTGGACCAAGTTTCTTTGGCAGTTCCCTCTTTTGTCGTTGCCTCAATTTCCCTAGTTTTTGTTCCCTTAGTTGTTGTTTCCTTATGCTACGCTTACACAGAAATCGCGCGCGACATGCGACAGTCGCTAGACAACACGCGGAAATCTTATTTTATGTAAGCACACGAAAAACGCGACAAAATCGCCAGCGATTTTCTTTCCACTTTTTCTATTAAATTTTCTGTCGCAAATCGCGCGCGATTTTTATGTAAGTGTAGCATTAGTTGTTGGTTCCTTGGTTGTTGGTTCCTTTGTTGTTGTTGGTGCCTTTGTTGTCGTCTCCTCTTTCTCGTATTTTAAAAGCTTATATTCTTGTCCACTCTTAAATAAATTTTTAATTTGAAAATAAAATTACTTAAACTCACAAATTTAATTTCAATTTTGCAATTAGGTCCGTCTAGAGTAGAATTCCTTTTAATATTATTCCCATCACGTTGGAAAGAAGCCTTTTGCGGGAGAAGAAAGAAAACAAGCAATTCATTGTAAAAGAAATCTTCATAGATTCTATTACGAAGTCTCCAAGTTATTGGTTTAATCAATCCTTTTTCCTCTATAATTTCATCAAATCGACGTAAACACACAAAATCGCATCCTGAGGCAAACAAATAAGAACCTCTTTCAGCGTTCTTAATTCTGAACCAAGAACTGTAATCATCAACTTGGACATCAATTTCAGACTTTAAATTGTTCACACGATTTTTCTTGAGAGGACAGTGACACACAACTGGCTCACCAACTGTAAATAGATGTGTTAAAAATTTTGAAGGGAAGAATTATTGTCCTTACCCGATTGCATACTCGCATGAACTTTATCTCCTTCATATGCCCAACCAAACTCTAATCCACCAGGTTTCAAGCATTCTCCACCACTTTTGATGCACTCATCCTTCTTATTGCAAGAAATATCCTCTCCCTCGTAAGGTCCTTCCTTCAACTTTACAAACCGTTCAAAGCTAATGCTGTATGCAAAAGGAACCCTTAAATTTAAAAGTTATTCTTTTGAAAAAATTATTTTTTTCCACTCACAAATTGGCATTAAATCCATCGGTTGTCATTGGCTGAAGACACTCCTTAATCTCTTTGTTATCATTACTCAAAATTGCTTTGAATTCGAACACAAAATCGAACTTGGCTATAAGATCGATGGCACATCCAGTCTCACGAACGGAGTTGTAATTCAGAACTCTTAATATAATTAGTAATTTAAACTTTTAACTCTCCTTTAAACTTACATATCCCCATTATCATCAAACTTTACATCGCAAGCATTTTCCATTCCTTTATAATATTGAAGGTCCTCGTTGCTATTTGCAATATGCCGTGCGTTGTAAAGACTCATGATTTCGTTTCTTACCAAAGGGTGACCACCAAAACCAAATGGAATATAATTAGCCCCTTCTGACATATTACAATTGAGAGAAGTCCATATAGCCAGGAGAATAACTAGAAAAGAATTAACACAAACACGAAGCATTGAGAGAAGAAAAAGTTTTTTGTCGTAATAGGATTTGAAGAAGATTGATAAAATATTTTAAAATTATAAGCTTTTTATAAGACTTTATATAGAATTAAATAAGGGCTACATTGTTTGAATGTTGTTGTAAATTATTCATATACTTGTCTGAAGTCTCATGCTTGAAACCCTCAACTTCCTTTAAATTATTTTCTCAAGTAACGAATTGGTTGTATAATGCTAATCTCGAATCTAAATATATAAACTAGTTCCGGAACTGAGCTTGAGTTAACTCAAGCTCAGCTCAGTTCCGGAACTCGTTTATTTATTTAGATTCTAGATTAGCATTATACAACCAATTCGTTAGTCGAGGCCTAACTAGAGATCGGCCGGACGGCAAAATCAAATATTTGATCAAATAATTTGATTTTTATTTGATATTTGAAAAAATCAAACTTTTTCAGAAAGTGGTCAAATAAAATTTAATCAAATATTCGATTTTATCAAATATCTGTTTGGCCGATCTCTAGGCCTGACACCTGACTACTTGCCATCAGTTTTTTTATGTATTCTATTTTTGTTGAATTCTGTAAATAAATTTAAAAATAATATTTAGGCATTTTAAATTATGAGAATTTTTTTTAGTTTTTTTAAATAAAAGTTTATAGTAACATTTAAAATATATTTTTTAAATAAATATTTAAATAATACATTTCTTATTAATTAATAAAATGACTAAAAAATGATTAAAAAACCAATTTTCAAAACTTTTTTAATGAGTAACATAATTTTACATTTAACAACTTTAAATGTTAAATTTATTTTAAAGTTGATCAAAAAGGTATATAAATAAATTATTTATTTAAATTATCAACAAACAAAAATTTTTAAAAAAATAATTAAAAATAAATTAATTTAAAATGCAAAAATTTATTTTTCTTTTAATCGTCCTTTCTGCAATTATTGCCGTTAGTATGGGACAATCTGTAAATTATTTTTTAATAAGATTTTGAATTATTTTTATTTTAACATTATTATTGAGGGTATTAAGGCTTAATTCTACTCTTTATATTGTTGATGCCCTGCCGTGGTAACGGCTAAACTCACAGAAATTTAAAGTCAAGGGTCATCACTACAATAAAAGCCCCCCCTCATTCCATTTTTAAAAGTATTTTTCCGTTTACACTTTTTAGTCTTCATCTCTACGCTTAAATCGAGAATCTAAATATATTTAACTATTTTTAAGCGTTGTCAAAAAGATAAGGATGAAGGAAATTCTGACTGTAATAAACCACATCCTACTAAAAGCTGGTGGTATGTAAAGGGTGAGAATGACTGTAAGGTTAATCCAAATTTTGTTTAAAAACAAACTTGCTATTTATTTTTAAAGTCATTCCAATACAAAGGATGTGGTGGAAATACTAATCGTTTTAAATCTAAGGATTCATGCGAGAAAGCTTGCAAGGTTTTTTTCATTAATTTAATTTATTAGAAACCACAAAAGTATAAAAATTGCACTAATTACATAAATTAAATAAATTTTAAAAATTATAAGAGTTTAAAATATTAAGAAGAAAAAAGTTAGTTTTATACCTAAAAAATGTAGGGATAAGAGATGACTAAATATGTACCTTTTTTTTGAATTATTACCCCTTTTTATCAAGATGCTGAGAAAATAATTAAAATAAATTTTTTAAATAAATTTCTTTTAAATTTTATAAGATTTTAATTTTTAAATTATAAAATTTTATTTAGAAAAAATAATCTTCCTACAATATTTTTTGATGAAAGAAAATAAAAGAATTGATAAAAATAAAAAGTTAAGTAAACAATTTAATTGTAAAATTATTTAATAATTTGAATAAATTTAAATAAATATTCTTTCATTCTATTTAAAGGTACAATTAATTTTAATATTTATTTTAAATTTTTTCTTTATTTAATATTTTTCAATTAAAATAATTTTCTCAAAATAAATATAAAATTAATTTTTTACTGGGAATTTTATTTAGCTGGCTGAATATCCATCCCAAACCAACAGACCGTCTAAATAATCTGAAATTATATTAGAATATAATTAGGTAATTCCTCATTTTATTTATTTATTACCCTACACGACCGCATACATGAAAGTTTTGTAACAAAACAATTTCCATTTCCCCCACAACCCTTATATTTAAATGTCTTCAAAAATAAATATTTTTCAAATATATTTAAGTATTTTTAACCTTACAAACTCCCAAATTAAAATACCAACGAATATATGTTTGACGTTTACCACGACAAAAAACTCCCTCATTTTTTGGTTGATAACAACGCTAAATTTAGAAAAAATAAAAAAAAAATTTTAATTTAAATAAAAACTACTGAATTTTGGCAATTTCCAAAGAAAATAAATATTATAGATAATAAAATTAACAAAATAATTAATTTTTTCATTTTTAATTTATTAAATATTGCTTCAATATAAAATGAAATTAATATTTAAAAATTATTTATATCCAACACTAATATTTAAGGGTTTTATTGTTTTAAGTTTTATTTGTTTAATAAAATATTATCTTTTAATTTTTTCTTTACAAATTACTAAGAGAAAAAGCTTTTACTAAGGAAGATAAAATGTTTAAATTTATTCAAATCATATGAAAATTATTTTATAATAATTATTTGGATTTATTAAGATAATAAATAAAATTGTTTTTGATATTTTCTGTCTTTAATCAGAGCTACATATATTTAGAATTTACGTTACACCTTCTTACATCTCAGGATTTTTATGAAAAATCGAAAAATAGCAAGCATCGCTTTTGGCTGACAAAAATAGGATCACTAATTTTACATACCAAGGGTGGGCAGAAACAGATTTTAAAAAGCGACAGGCAAATGTCAATCAAAATCAAAAATTAATTTTTTTCAGTAAAAAAAGTCATTCATATTTTCGATAAAAATACTTAGTAATTTATATTTCATAATAAAATATAATGTCAGAAGAAAAGTCCGAAAAATAAATAAAATTTTAATTCATTAAAATTATTTTACTTCTAAAAATTAACAAAAATTTATTATGACTTATTGAGAATCTGAGAAAATTATAAAAGATTAATCTTATATATTTAATTTATTTTAATTATTTGGATTTATTAAAATAATTAGCTCAAATAATTAAATATATTTTTATTTAAAATGTAATAAAAATTTATTTTAATAAATCCAAATAATTAAAATAAACTAAATATGTATATAAAATTAATCTTTTATAATTTTCTCAAATTCTCAATAAGTCATAATAAATTTTTGTTAATTTTTAGAATTAAAATAATATTGATAAATGAAAAATATCTAATAATTTTAAAAATATAAATTTCCCTCTCAAATTAAAATTTATCTGATTTTAACAAATAATTAGGGTGTACATTTATATGGAAATCCATATTTTTTTCCTGAATTCCTATGACTGTGAAATGCACGAAAAACATGTTTTTGGCTTGTTTTATGGTTTCTGGGATGGTCTGTAAATCCATATTTTCCATATTTTTCCATATTTTGCCATTATGCCCATATTTTCTATATTTGTCCATATTTAGCCTTTATATCCATATTTTATATCAATATTTCTCTTTTGTTGAATATTTTGATCCATATTTGGACATTAGTGGTAAATTTTAGTAAAAATTGGGAAAATTTTTAAAATTTTGGAAATTTTTAGTCAAAAAATTTTTTCAAAAATTTTTTGGAAAAATTTATTTTCAAAAAAAATTTAACAAAAATTTTAAATCCATAAAATCTTTTAGAACGATCTTAAAATGCAGAGTTAAAGGCAAAATTGTTGTTTTCTACACAAAATACTGATTTCTAAAATATTTTTTCATCATATTTTGATCCATATTTCGGTATTTTATATCCATATTTAGTATTTATTTCCATATTTATATCCATATTTTAGAATTTTATATCCATATTTTATGTCCATATTTTTCAATTTTATATCCATATAAATGTACACCCTACAAATAATTGTAACAAATAATTGTTAAAATCAGATAAATATTAAAATTGTTAGAATCTTCGGCAAGCATTATTGTTTATGCTAATTTTGTGATAGATTTTTTAATAGAGTGTATGTTGAAAAAGAAAAAGACGGTTATATTTATATTGGTTTAAAAATAAAAAAACGAATTTCTGTACTAATTGATAAATCCTTTTTCGAAGTTTTTAATGTTATTAAATTAAGCAACCCAATTTTCATTCCTTTTCGGGCTTTCAAGCTTCAACCAATATTTGGTTCACTTTTTTGTGGGCTTAATTAAATTCTCTTGATTTTTACCTTAATCTTTTCATAAATATCTTCCTCCTTCTTTGGACCTTTTGCCTCTTTCTTCTTCTTAGCATCGTCCTCAGCTTCCTTCTTTTTATTTTCTTCCCCAGCCTTCTCCTCTTCCTTTTCAGCCTTTTTCAGACGATCTTTTACTTCCTTCAACTTTTCCTCAGCTTCCTCTCGCTTATTTGCAGCTTCACCTCTCTCTTCTTCCCTCTTTCGGCGCTCACGTGCTTCTTTGAAAATCATTTTTTCACGCCTTATCTTCTTATCGAAATTCTTAAGCATGAAGAAATGATTTTGAAAGAAGCGCGTGAGCGCCGAAAGAGGGAGGAAGAGAGAGGTGAAGCTGCAAATAAGCGAGAGAAAGCTGAGGAAAAGTTGAAGGAAGTAAAAGATCGTCTGAAAAGGCTGAAAAGGAAGAGAAGAAGGCTGGGGAAGAAAATAAAAAGAAGGAAGCTGAGGACGATGCTAAGAAGAAGAAAGAGGCAAAAGGTCCAAAGAAGGAGGAAGATATTTATGAAAAGATTAAGGTAAAAATCAAGAGAATTTAATTAAGCCCACAAAAAAGTGAACCAAATATTGGTTGAAGCTTGAAGGCCTGAAAAGGAATGAAAATTGGGTTGCTTAATTTAATAACATTAAAAACTTCGAAAAAGGAGATCAATTAACCTTTTTAGCATAGAAATTCGTTTTTTTATTTCTAAACCAATGCAAATATAGTAACCGTTTTTACTTTTTCAACATACGCTCTATTAAAAAAATTTCTCACAAAACTAGCATAAGCAATAATGGTCGCCGAAGATTCAAACAATTTTAATATTTATCTGATTTTAACAATTTTGTAGCTTTATTTAAAAAACAAAATTCTCCAAATAAAACTCATCGTATAACAAAAGATCAACACTCAACATTTCTTCTTTACTTTTACATCTTATTTGGAATAATTCCATCTTTCTGAGCAAGACGTAAAATGCAATCATCAGATTCACCCTAAAATTGTGTGTTAAAATTGAATTTTATTTTTTTGTTCCACGTTTTTTTTTAATTTTTTGATTTCCAAAATTTTATGTTTGGTTTATTTTTAATTTTAGACAAATTCTATTTCTAAAATTTAGTCGCTTTATTTAAATTGTTAAAAATTATTTTCAAAAAATTTTTTAACCATAAAACGAAGCTTTCCACAAATAGCATAACGCGTCACTTCTCCATCAATCATACGTCCAGTAACTGGATCAACACGAACAATATCCAATTGAATAGAAGCATGGTCCTTTGCCGAAATAATCCTTGAAGAGGACGAGCTAAAATAAAAATAAATAGAAAATGATTAATCGAAAAAGTTGATAATCTTAATCTTCCAAAAATTTTCGTACACGGCACTAAAAATGCCCAGAACACAAAGTAAACGCACCTCTCCCAAAGCCCGACCCTTGGATACCCTGTTGGAAAATTCCCAACCTACAAGCAGTCCAATATTAACTAAATATTTACCAAAAAAAAAACAAACCACTTCCTCGGAATGTATAAATCAGCAAGTTCTCCAGCGTCGTTTTGCATGTTTCTTTTTTCTCAAATTTTTATTTATCTAGAAATTACAAATAAAATTATTTGGAAAATTTAAAAAGTAAAGTCTGTGCACAAACAGATAAAAAAATTCAAAAAAAGAAATTTTCAATTCAATATATGATAAAAACAAAATAATAAGATTAAAAAAGGTTTAAAACAATCCTCCCAAAAATTAAAATCATTAAAAAGCCCCTTCAAAAATTCTTCTATTTTCTACGCCTATCAGGATCTTCATTTCGCGTCGGTGGTGGTGGAGGTCCTTTACGATCGAGTAGGTCCAAATATTCATCCAATATGCGTTCACGTTCACTTGGTCGTTCTTTCAAAACCAAATAACGTGTGTCATTCTGAAAAAATGATTTAATTACAAAGAACTCGTTATATTAAATAAACCTCCAAAACAGCCAAAATATCACGTAAATGCTGCTCATTTTCTGTAATCATTTGTTTAGATTTATATGTGATAATTTTTGTTTCGCGAAGAAGAGCTTCAAAATCATCGAGTGCTTGGCGATGACGACGCTCCATCCACTCACGATATTCATGCTCAAGTTTCTGAAAAAAAGATTTTTTAATAAAACCAAAAAATCTCAAACATCCGTAAATTCTAATCTAATTTTTCAAAAATTTTAATTAAAATATACCCGTTCATCAAGTTTAAGTTTAGCAACACGATCATCTTCTATAATAGTTTTCCTTGCATTGTGCCATTTTGTAGTAAAAGTGATAAGTTGGTGCTCATCGAGAAGCTAATAAAAGATTTTTCCTAATTGTATTTCAAAAAACCTGGAAAAAGACATCTCTTTTCTTTCTCTCCAAATCTCGAACGTGTTCACGAAAAAGTCGTTCTTTAGATTCTTTATCCAACAATTCACAATTTTGATAACGAGAATCTTTTTTCAATAATTTACGACCATCGTGCCAGCTAATATCAGTGCTTCTAACCTAAATTTTTAGAAAGTTTAGCTTAAACAGCCTTCTTTAAGAAAAAATGGGAAGAAAATAGAAGTAACGAAATTCCCAGGCTAACCATAAAATAAATCAAATCCGGAACATAAAGGAAAAATCTCAACTTCATGTGAAATCTTATTTCCCCCTCAATATTTCAAAAAATCTTTTACCAGATCCGCAAGAAGAGCCTTAAAGTTTTGTTCATGTTCCAATAATTTATGTCGTTCATGTTCACGATTTCTTTCCTTCAAATGTTCTCCTAATTCTTCTTCAACTTGCCGCTTTCTATCTTCTAATGCCTTTTCCTCTGCTGTCTTCTCAACAATTTTTTCACTTTTTTCTTTCTCTCTTCTTCGACTGCTACTAGAATTGTTATTATTGCTGCTACTATTATTCTTTCTTCTCTCTCTATCACGTTCTTCATTTTCATGTTTTTCATTCAATGCTTTTTCTTTTGCTGCATTTGCAGCCTCCAAAGCCTCTTCTTCCAATCTTTTTGCCTCAGCTTCTTCTTCCTATTTTAAATTTTTTATATGAATAAAAAATGATTAGAATACCTCAGTCGGTTCTGGACAAGTTTTGGCATGCTCATCAAATAATTTTTGCCTCGTTTCGCTATCCAAATTTTTATTTCGATAACGTTCATCTTTATCAATTTTTTTCTTCACAACAGCCCAGACAGAATTTCGTCTTAAATATTCTTGTTCCTTCAAAAGAGCAACAAAGCATTCCTTTGCCTACAATAATATTTAAATTCTCAATTATTTTCCGACAATTAAAATCATCTAAAATTAACCTTATCACGTTCTTTTCGCTTTTCTTCCTTTTCCTTTTTGTAAAGTTGTTCGACAAAATCCTTGAAATATGCCTCCCGATCACGTACTTTTTCCACGGCCTTGAATCTCGGATCTTTTGCCCACTTACTATTAGTAGAGAAAGATGAAAACGTTGACCTTAATATTTAAATTATAAACAAAAGATTGATAAATTTCCCCACTTTCCATGCAGCTTTGCTTCTTCCAAAAGTTTATAAAATTCAGCTTTAGCTTCCTTTGCCTTCTTTCGCTTTTCTTCTTTTTCAATTTCTGCGCGTTCCCTGCAATAAGCATCGAAGGCTGCCTTACGCTCAACAGCACTCAGTAGCAAATAACGTTGATCGAAGACAATCTGTAATTAGATACCAAATGAGATTTAAAAAATATTTAGCAAAAGAAGTACCTTAGAAAGCTCTTTCTCCCAAGTACTCGTTGCACTAACTTTTTTGTCCTCTAAAAGTTGGCGGAATTGTTTAATACGTTCTTCAAGTGGGACCTAAAGAAAACAAACATTAAGATTTCGAAAAAAATGATAACCTTATCGCGCTCCTTCTGTGCTTCCAATTCTGCCTGAATTGCTGGATCAATAGGCTTCTCTTGTTGTAAAACAGGCAATGCCAACTTTTGTTGTTTTGGATTTTCTAACTGCATTTTCAGTTCTTCTTCGACTCTAAATTAAATTAGAAATAAAATTATAGAATAAGGAAATCAATCAAGTCTACTTTTTGTCTTTGCGCGATTTCTTTTTTGGGGGATGAGCAGGCATTTTCTTTTGATTTTCTTCATCAGAATTTGATGTATCGGATTCATGAACTTCAATTTCGTCATCTTCATCAACTTCTTCCTCACTTTCTTCCTTTTGAAGACGTTTTTGGGCTCGGTTACTTAATTGTTCCTCTAAAAAATAAAATGTTTATTTAAAAATAAATTTGTTAATGACTTGCTGGAGGCGGCTTAGAGACCAATAAATCAACATCAGGGCGATTATAGAGCTCTGGAGGACGTTCCCAAACAGAAGTACGTGTGCTTGGATTGAAGAAAAATACCTAGAATTATACACTCAATTTCAACTTCGTTTAGAAAAATAGTTAACTCAATCAAGATTTAACTTACTCGATTGTCTCCAGTCCATACGACACACCACGGAGTACCAGCAACCGCATTACTTGTCACTGGACGTGATTTATCCTTTTGCCCGCCCTGAGGGTTTGTTAAAGCAGCCTGTGGACCACCAGTTGCAGCTGAGGGACGAAAACCTGCATATCCAATACCCATTGGAGACATGGCGGCTCCACCCATCATAGGAACTCCACCAGGAAATCCAGCCATTTGAGGCGGTACACCTCCGTTCTCTCGAATAGCAGCTAATTAAAATAAAATTTAATCAATTTATAAACTAGAAAACCTTCTTTATCAATTAATGCCTTTGGTTTCGTCCAAGTATTCTCACGCGTTATAAAATTGAAGTAATATTTTTTGCCATCTTGGGACGTAAACTCTTGCCACGCATCATTTGGATTTGTAGGACCACCAGGAAAACCAGGAGGCATCATGAACGGAGCTAAAAACAGAAAAAATTAAAAGGTGATATCTATTAATTGTTAAATCTTAAAAATAAATACTCACGCATTCCACCAGGAGGTCCAGCGCCATGATGTTGTTGCATTTGTTGTTCTGAAAAAAATAAAATATATACAAATAACCTTCGTCACAAAATTTTAAAAATCCTAAAGTTAAAGTATCATAAAAAACAGATTGTTTTCAAAAAAATAAAACTAGTTTAAACAAAATTTAGAGTACATATGTTAATGTTCTATTAAAGACTCTTTTATGATACAAAAACAAAACTTAAATAAATTTTCAAGTATGAGAATAATAAGTCAGGGAAATGATGAAGATAAATACGTTAAGTCTCAAAAGTTATTTTTAATTTTCAAAATTATCCCAAAAATAAATAAAATTTTGGTTCAAATAATTAAAAAAATTTCCTAAAAACTTATAAAAAACATTTTCATTAAAGCTTAAGTCTACAAAATTCTTTACAGTGCACTATATTACTGTGACTGTGCCGGTGTGAGAAGTAAAAGGCCCATCTCTGGATTTGTTGAGAATGTTAAAAGGACGAAAGAAGCAGATTCGTCCTCCCCTCTTCTTCACCAGCCTATTATCTGTTGCAATAAAGATCACCAAAATTAAAGATAAGTGAAAAAAGTAGTAAATTGTCTAATTTAAGCAAAAAATAATTTAAACCTATTTCAAAAAATATTTTTGTAATTCTACTCCTAGTGAGCTTTATTGTTAAAACTCAATGTTCTTACAAGGGAACATCTCGAACTGTGACCAAAAACCGCTCCAAAAGTCGAAAACTTAGGTTTTCAAATATGCTCTACATGATGGTATGTTCCCTTGTTAACATATTTAGATGTTAAATAAGGGTGTTGACCTTTACACGTGTTGCGACATGCAAAACAAAGGTACGCGAAAAGGAATACCTACCCTAGTTCCTTAAATTATTTTTGCAAAATTTTGGGGTTAACCTGCAATTGTCGCAACATCTCCCAAATAAATAATATATAATTATATATCAAACACCTTTTGTATTCTAAAAACTTACATTGAAAACCTATAATTGATTGAAATTTTATATAAAAAGCATTAATCCCATTCAACCCTCTCCCCCCGCCCAAATTCATTTAAGAAACATCAAAATAAATTAGACAAGTCAAACAACCAAAGATCTCTTGAATTTTCACACTCAATATTAAACTATATTTTGATATAAAAAAAACTCTCAAATATCCATCGAGATCCAAGGTTGTATGACTTTTACGCCACAAATTATAAAATCCCAACTCCATTTAGTTCACTTAATCCCTATAATTAAAGCAGATTATTTTTAAAATTTAAATCAGAATAGCCTTATTAACAAGTTACAAACTATTAACTTTAAAAAAATAATAATTTAGATAAAATATAAAGTTTTTAAGTGGTAAAGTAAAGAGGATGACAAAAAACATCCAAGATGGAAAAAAGTTAAAAAAAATAACCAACCTTTTTCCTCACGCTGAGACTGATCAACCGCTTTTTGGATCTCATCTTGTTGCATAACAACGGCATTAGAGGCATCAGGACGTTCCCAGACAGTTTGACGAGTTTCAGATTGATAAAAATATGATTTACCTTCAGCTGATTTTGTCTCAATCCAAAGCTCCTTTTCAACAGAAATTCCCAAAATCTACAAAAACCAATATAAAAAATAATTATGTAACTAAAAAACCTTTTTGAGTCGCTCATTTTGGCTAACGGGTTGTTGCTGCGCTTGTTGTGGTTGTGAAGGCGGTTGACCATTTTGTTGATGTCCATTTTGGGGAGGTTGATGCATCTGTGGTCTCATTCCATAAGGCATCGGCGGCATTCCCATTGGTGGTCTGAAACCAGGCGGCATCGGTCCTCCTGGATAGCCTCCTTGGGGAAACGGCGGCCTGCCACCACCACCCATTGGTGGTCGAGGTGGTCCTCCCTGTCCTGGTCCCATGTTCGGCGGTCCCATATTCTGCGGTGGCCCGCCCACTGAAATTAGTAAATAAAAGGTTGATTAATTTTATATTATTTTATCTGTAGATTTCTGCAGACCTTTGAGGACAAATTCCATGTTTTCAAACTACAAGTCAAAATGGAAAAGGGAAAAATTTGTCCACAAATGTTAGCAAAATCTAGTTAAATATAAGGATAATAAAGAATACTGAACCAAAAACCACCAACACACAAACCTATATTCATTGAAGAAAATGGTGGGTATTGACCATGAACTAAAATTTGTTTTCCAAAAAATTAAATAAATGGATTCCGAAAAGGAAAGAGAAAAATAGAAAAATATAAAGTTTAATCCGACACCACTTTCAGGCACAAAAACAAAGATAACAATGTTTCCACAACAGAATCCAAAAAAAGAAACCGAAGCACAATAGAAAAGAATAAACCCAAAAAATAAATAAACAAACATCGCGGCGGTCCTTGATGGCCAAAATAATTATGAGGTGGTCCATCACCATAATGAGGTCCCTGCATTTGATAATTTGGAGGCATCGGTCGGAAATTCGGAGGCGGTGGACGTAACTGGTTGAGCGGCTGATATTGTCCAGGCGGCGGTCCTCCTCCATTCGGTGGCGGGAAAGAATTTCCAGGCATTGGATAACGATGTCTTGGAGGTTGCAAAAATCCAACACGCGGCACAAAATTTGAACTAAATAAAAAATTAATATTAAAGAAATACTATAGACAGTCGTAAAAAATTATCCAAGGACAAATTTAAAAATCAATAAATTGTGAATTTAAGAGGAAGGCACCCAGGAGGAGGAATCTAAAGGAAAGTACCCAAATAAAAGAAAAAACCTTTGTTCATGCGGCTTTTGCTGTTGTTGTGTTTGCTGAGAATTAGTGTCCTTTTCTAAACTTCCTTGGTCTTGATCCTCTTGTTGTTGAGATTGTTCGTCACTCATAATAAAAGTTGTATCTATAGCAATATTACTATAAAAGATTGTAAGATAAATAAGATAAAGGTTGAAATTAAATTAATTAACACATTAACGTTGCCGAAACTCCTATTCAAGAATTACTTAATTAGGTCATCCAACACAAAAATTACCATATCCCCGATTAGGCTAATCAATACTCTCGACTACGGCATAAAACGAAAGACAACGCTTTAGAGTTTCATTAGAGAAAAATACAAAAGGACGATTGAGTGCCGATATTTATCGCCGTCAAGTATTACGGACGTTTGATCTCTATAATTTCAACGACATGTCCATTTTCTGTATTTTTTGTTGAATTTTTGAAATTTTTTTAAAAGATTTATTTAAAAAATTATTAAATTTGTGAAATAATATTTTGATTTATCCACTGAAGAGATTGAACGTAAAAAATTGGTGAAAAATTAATGAATCACTTAACTAAAATTTAGAAATTTATGAATAAAACAAATGTTGTAAAAACAGGAAAATAAATTTTTAAAAATTCAGATTTAAATAAAATATTTAAATTAATTAAAGGCTTAAAAGGGCGAAATAAAATTAGGTGAAAATGAAAAGCAATGATTGAAGAGACCTACATTAATATTAAAGAACGAGCGGCACCTGAACCAAGGGTTTTTCCTGTACCCAGGGTCCAGCCCGACGCATTTTTTTGACCTTCCTGGGTTTTTCCTGGGCCTGGGGTTTTCCTGGACTACAGGCCCAGGATCCGGTCCAGGTCAATAAATCAACCCCCAGAGTCCAGGAACAGGTCCAGGCTTTTCAAAAATCTCGATCTCTAATATATATGTACATAATTTTTGACCTAAATATTTTAAAACTTTAATTATTTTTTAACAATTATTTTTTATTTTACACAATTTATTCTCTTCACATTTTAAAGTAAATATTAAACAAATATAAATTTATTTTTATATAGATCTCGTCATTTATTTCCAATTTTTTTAACTATATTGCTCATCCAAAATCATTCGATTTATTGAATAAGGACGTTGAAAATGAAGTAAATTAGCTGCTAAAGCGGCAGCAGCTAATGATGAACGTTCTGAGGGCATATTTTGCCTTTAAAAAATTAAAATTTATAAAATATATTGGACAAAAAAGTAAATATTTTTGAAGAACTTATAAAAATTTTGTTAAAATTAGAAAAACAATAAAAATTAAACATCTTTTTTAAGTATTCATTTTTAATTTTATTTTATTTCTATTTTTAATACATATAATTCTAAATTCAAAAAAAATTCAAAAATAGAAGGAAATTGAAATAAAATATGTATATGCGAAAGGAAAGAAGAAAACTTTAATGAAGCCAAAAATAAAACTTAAAAATTCATCTTTTTTATTAGATAAAAAGGTAAGTATTTAGAAAAACCAAGCTAAAAGTGGGGGTAGTAACATAAGAGGGGACGACGTTAGGGAGAGCCTCAATTGTCAGTGATTGCTACTACAATTTAAAGGCCGAATTTTGGGGGTCGAACGAGAAAAGTAAAGTAAAATCTCGAAAAAGTCGAGACTAGGTAGGGGGTATGGATTCCATTTAGCTTCCAATTATCATAATTTCTTCTGTTCGACCTACTTAATACCCTCAATATACTAATTAAATTTAATTTTAGTGTCAATTCTTTTATTTACAAAAAAATATTTTTTTTAAGTTTCATTTTTGGGTTAATCAAAAATACTCCTCTTCTTTTTTTTCTAAATTTGATTACCGTAAAAAGAATTTGTTTCTTATTAAATTTTATCTTGTTTTAGCATTACTTTTTCTTTCATTTGAGAATCAAAAGATTATTTCGAAAAATAGTTATTTATAGATAATTTTTATTTTTTTTCTTTTTTGTTCCTTTCTAAAAATCATTTTAATTTTATATTTGAATTATTATTTGAATTTATTACCTTTAAAATATTTAATTTTATTTTTTTTTTGAAATTATTTTAGATTTCCAGACTTTCAAATTTTATTTTTAAAAAACCCTTTTTTTAATTTATTCTTTTTAATTTAATTTTTTAATTTTAATTCAAATTATTTTATTTTGCTTAAAATATAATATATTTTTTCTTACATTCCACGTTTTAACATGTTATTAGGTGTTAATTGTTGTTGATTGTGTTGTTGTTGTTGTTCTGCTAATAAATGTCCAATTAATTCTTCAGCAGAAGCATCCCCAGCAGTTAGACCCATATGACTAAGCGCTCTAGCTGAGGGAATAAGTGATCTTTTTGCTGACATTTCATCCCAAGCATAGAAACGTTTCTTCTAGAAAATTTTTGGGGAATATTTTTGGGGTATTCTACGTATTTTTATGTACTCGGGGCTTTATGAAAATATTTTTGGTTAATAAATGTATTACTATAAATTTTAAGTTTTAACACATTTTCTTAGAATTTCTTTATAATCGAACCTTATCCCTTTGGAGCTGAGAATCGTATTTTATATAAAAGTTATCAATAGATACATATCTGCACTAAAGCGGATTTTAAAAAACGCATCCTAGATCGAATATTACCTACAGTAAAAACTGTATTAACTACCCTGGGTAATTATTGTTTCTATCTCTCGCTGGAGGGGGTAATAAATAGAGGCGGTGTAATTAATAGAGGTTATTTTAGAAAGGCAAATTATAACTATTTTTAAGGGAGTAATTATTGTTTCAACCTTTCGTGGAGGGGGTAACTAATACAGGCGAGGGTAATTATTTGAGGGAGGGACATTAATATAGTTTTTACGGTAATTTTGGATTTATCTACTAAAAGTAACGTTCGAGTATATTTAGGATCAAGTACCAATCAAAGAAACCTCCTTCCTTAACATCCTTCCCCGTTGGGAAATCTATTCACGGGGGGTGGAATTCTCGAGTTTCTTATTAATATTTCCCTCCTTATCCTCGTAAATTAAATTTTGTGTCCCTTAAAATTTTTAATTTTCTTACCATTTGATGTTCTAACTGTTCTCTTTTAAACTTAAAAAGGGCAATATCATCATTATTAGCCAAAAGTAATGGCTGAGCCGAGCATTGACAGACAAAGAAAATTAAAACAAAAATAATTCCCATAAAATATATTAAATTTTGATTAAATGGAATTGAACATCTTTTTGGTGTTTTTGGAGTATTTTTAATAGAAGTTTTGTTTGAGATTTTATTTGAGGCGTTTGGCATAGCTGTCTGTGGTGGCGGAAATGTATAGTTTGAATATTAAAAGCTATAAGATATTTAAATTAAATTAATGTAAATTATTAAGGAGATTATAGCTTTAGAAATACCAAAGAGAAATTTAAAAAGATCTATGAAGTTCGGGATATTTTGGAGGGGAAGACGAAACTGAATTGTTGAGAGTTGAGAAAAACAAATAGTTTATTTAAGCAATAGATTTGAATGTAGATATTCAAACGATATTCCAAAAAATATTAGATTAATTCATAAATAGGGTTGTCGATAAGGAACCTGGACCGACCTAAACCGAAGAACCGAGGAAATTTCTTTGATTCGGGTTGTCAGAAAACAGAGGATTTCTGGCTTCATTACTGGCTTCTAAAATACCAAACATTTTCGCCTGCGGCTAACAAATAAAACAAAAATAAACAAAACATAAAATTAAGATTTATACTGACGAGAATTTAAATATAGGATCTTAAAAAGATTTTTTGATTAAAACTTTTTATGTAAAAATTAATTAATTATTCATAAAAATGTTGCAATTAAAAGCATGGAAATAGGCAATCAACAGGAATATTTTAAATAATTTATTTTTATTTTATTCTTTATTTCCTTGAATTAATCCAAAAATAAAGTCAATCCTCGTCATAAGATACACAATTTAGGGTTAAAAAATTAAGGATACAGAACACTCAATACATAATTTATCAAACGTTTATTATATCTTTAAGCACTTGTGGGATGAATAGTGAGTAGGGGGTTGTCGGTTCGGAACCGAACCGAAGAACCGAGATTTTTCGGTTCGGTCCCGGATATCCGAAGATTTTCCAAGAACCGACAATCCTAGTAGTGAGTATGGGAAAGGAAACTAGGGTAGAGAATAATTTAAAAAATTAGAAAAAAAATTCCTTCAGAACACTCAATACCCGACACGGAACAGTGTCGAGTATTACATGTCTTTCTCTCAAGGACACAAATCACGACAGGGATCCATTGTGGGGGAAGCTTTAGACAAATCCAGATAAATAGGTATATTTATGGTTTAAATAGGTATATTTATGGTTTAGATACTATCCCCAATTACTATCTATCCTGTAGTTTATTAATACGTTAAAAATTACTTTTTTTTAATAAAAGTATATAATACACCAAATGTGCTCTTAAAAATTTCTTGAGATATTTTAAAAAATAAAATAAGGAAATAATAATTTTTATAAAAGAATTTTCTTTTTGTCTATTATTTTTATTTATTCGCTTGATTTAATAAAATTGCTTTTTGAAAGTTAAAAGTGGCTAGTCATGTGTTTTTGCATATTTTTTTTATTTATTTTTTGAAAAAAGGGAAGTAAATCGCGCGTAAAAACTTTTTTTTGTTTTTTCCTGTGGGGGTGTTTTTTTGAAGGAAGAAGATGTTACGAATATTTTTTTAAAAAATATTTTTCAATAATAAAATTGTGTTGGGCATTTTTAAAATGAGAATAAAATGGTTGAATACCCCTTTTATTTTTAAAAGGACATTTTATCCTGTGTTGACATTTTGTCCCATTCTTTGACATTTTCTAGTTAAAAACATCCCTAAAATATTTACATACATTTCCATAATGGAATTTTTGCGCGAGCTTTAAATAAAAACTCTTTTTTAAAATTGTGGCAAATAGCGCTCCAATGAACACAATTGGTTATTTTTTGATAAATAAATATATTATAGTAGTTGGATGGATATTTTTTGTGTTATGAAAGGAAAGATATGGAGTAATAAAGTAGAAATTGTTTTAGAAAATTATTAATAAAGATTGGAAATATTAGAGAATTTGTGTGAGGGGGGCACTAGCCAGAGCTTACGTGTCTTTCTCACAAGAATACAAATCACGACACGGATCCATTGTGGGAGAAGCTTTAGACATATCCAGATAAATATACCTATTTATATTTTAGATAATTTTGAAATGCCCGGAGCCAGAGCCACAAAAGCTCAATAATAGTCAATCACCCCCAGTCACTCAAACCTTTTCAATAACCTTTCAAAAACTTTCAAGAGAATTTTAATAAATAATTAGTAAATATATTTATTAAAAAATTTTAAGATAAGTGAATATTTTTGGTAGAGATTACCTAGTAAAATAAATATTTTTAGAAATAACCTACACATATTTATTTGGAGATTAAATAGAATCTTTTTTTAAATAAAGCCTTACAAATTAACACAATTTATTTTCAAAAATTTATACAAAATCTAAATATATATTTATTTTTATCAAAAAATATTTTCTTTCTAAAAATTTTTATGATGTTTTATATTTATTTTATTTAAATACCAAAGTATTTTTAGGTATTTTTAAAAAGAATATTTAAATAAAAATAGTCACAATTAAAGCTTTATTTTATTTTTGAATTGAGTAGAAAATTAAAAGAAGAATTTTTTTTAATATTTTCTTGAAAATTTTTGGAGAATTCTTCTTTTTTTTTCCTTAAATATTTAAATACTCTAAATTATTTAAAAATGAAGGAGGATATTTTGGAAAGAAAAAAAAATTATTTTTAGTTTTTTTTATTTTTTAATCAAAAAAAAAGAAATAAAAAATAAGAGGAAATGAGGAAATAAATTAAGTAATAAATGTAGGTATTTTTATGAGATAATTTTGGAAGGGGAAACTAAATTTTATTAATTCTTATTAATTAAAATACTGTAATATATTTCAAATTAATTTTAAGTTAATCTCTTTCCGATTAATTAATTTTGGGTTGTAGTCCCTTAACATAAATCTTGTGTTTATTTTAAGTCTAGTTTAGTCTAATAAAAGTTTAGCCGTCAAAGAAAGACAAAATTCTGATCAAGCTAGTCTTGGTTTATTTGAGAGGGACTACCACATTTTATGTATCAATAAGTCCCTCGAAGACACTCCATCTTGTAATGTTAGAATTTTTTATTTTTAATATTTATTTTAGATTTTTTGTAATCTAAAAATAAATTAAAAACAAAAGGATGGATGACTTTTTCTGGATTTTTATTTATTAAATAAGTTAAGTCAATACCTGTCCACTGTCGCAACCCTTCAATCTCTTTCTATATACCTATTTTATTTAAAAAATTAAATTTTTAAGAAAATAGGAGAATATTTAAAAAATATTTAAAAGTAAATGATTATTCTCTAACTCTAAAAGTTTTATAGTAAATAATTTTTTTGTTTTATTTTTTTACTTTGTTTTTTGTTAAGTACAAAAAATAAGAAAAAATAAAATTATTTAAATTATTTGAATAATTTAAAGGAAAAAAAACAAAAAAAAATTTTCTGCCAAAATAAATAAAAACAAAACAATAATTTGAATAAATAATTGCTTTGTTTTTTAAAAAGTTATTATTCTTTAAAAACACACTTTAAATGTCTGTAATTATTTGGGTGTATTTTGGAATTAAAAAACAAAACAAATTTTGTTAAAATTAAAAAAAAATGTTTTTTCTTTAGAAAATTAAAAAAAATTATTTAGTGGTATGTATGTATATCAGGGATCCTGTTCAACATAAAAAATAAATTCCAGATTTTAGGGCGGCAGGATACCCTTTTTGTATCTTTTAAATAATTGTGAATTACCTCATTTCAGGTAATTTATTTTTAAATATTCTTTGTTGTGCTTGTGTTAATTTAAAATAATTTTATTGTCTAATTAAAATTTTTAATTAATTACAAGGTGATAAACAAAAAGAACATTTTTATTTTTTATTATAAGGTCGAAAAAAACAAAAAAAATTTTTTAGTAAATTATTTAATGTGTCTGTCTCACTCTCCATTTAAATGTCTACATTTATTTTTAAAGTTTTCGTGATACTAAAATTTAAATATTCCTTTTAAAACAAAATCAAGGACAAATTAATTATTCTGACAAAATAAATAAATTAATTCTTCTTCAATAATGACGCAAATGGAAATAAATATAAATGAAAAAATTCTCTTAAAAATGTATAATATTTTAAAATGAGGGTCTAATTAAGAATTAAATTTTCTGATTTTACCAAAGCAAATTTATTTTTAAATATTTAAAATAAAATAATTAATTAAAGGATTTAATAACTTATGAAGAATATCGGAGAATTTAGAGGGATCAATTTAATAACTAAATATAAAATTAATTTAAAAAATTTATTTGGAGGAATATTAATTAAAATGTTTAATTGTTTAATATAACTAGCAATAATAATGTCTAGTATTTTTTGTCGTTATTTTGATTTATTTGAGAGTTTTCACTAAAGATGGAAGTTTTTGAAAAAAATTTTTTAACTTCTCAATCCAAATTTTGAAAATGACTGGAAATAAAAATTTTTAATTTTCTGATTCGTATGGAATTTTTCTATGCCTAAATGATTTTATGGAATTCTGGTCTTTCTACGATTTGTTTTTTAAAAATTTCAATTCAAAAGAATATTTAAACCTTGTGTCTCCTTATTTTCCATCTATTTTTTTTCAGCTTCTGCAAAAAAGTCTGGTATATTTTGAGTTACTATCTGCTGTATTTGGTACCAATGCCAATATTCCCAATGTATTACCAGAATATTTTAAAGGAATAGAGAGCTCTTTTCACCCTATGTAGGTTATGGCACACTTTCACAATACCGGACGATTGATTCATAAAAAGCAAAACTAGGTACATACATACAAGCCATAATCTTTTAACAGCATGTTACATATTTTAATTCAGTAGTACTTTTTGGAGAAATTAAAATTAAAAGGAGAAACCAAATAAAATTTGGGAAGATAACACAAGTATACTATATATTTTTTAAATTTTATTTTTTAAATTTTTTACAAAAAAATCCTTAATTAGTAAAATTTTTATTTTCCTTAGGCATAATTTCCTTTGGGTAAATTTATAAATTAAATTCTATTTATTTTAAATAATTTTTAGTGAACTTTAAAATTTTTAAAACTAACAAAAAAATTTATTTTTAAATTTATTACTTGGCAGTTTTATTTTTTTATAATTTATTACTTATTTTTTAAACCAATTTCCGGTTTATTTAAATTTGTGTACAAAATTGTTAAACAAAAATAGATATAAATTATTAGGTAGTATTTAATTAACACATTTTTTATTTATCTAAATGTTTATTATTTTTGTGTTATATTTATTTATTTTTGAGCAAAATATTGGTATATTTACGAAAATAATTTCAAAAATTTATTCTGCAAAAAATTAAAAA